GTCTCTACTAAAAATAGAAAAACTAGCAGGGCATTGTGGCAGGTGCCTATAGTCCCAGCTACTCAGGATGCTGAGAAAAGAGGTTTGAGCCCAAGAGTTTGAGGTTGTTGTGAGCTGTGATGCCACAGTACTCAACTCAGGGTGACAGAGTAAGACTCTGTCTCAGAAAAAAAAGAAAAAAAAAAGAGAGAGAAAGAAAGAAAAGAAGGAAGGGAGGGAGAAAGAGGAAGGGAAGGGAAGAAGGAAAAAAGAAAAACATTTATGGATTCCTTGCAATTGCCAAAACTCATATACTTTTCATAATTTAGGTTCAAGTCTCTTGTTTCTCAAAAAAAAAAATCATTTCTGTATCTTTTCAGTGCAATGTGAGGAATCCAAGGTTATTCATGTTTTAAGACATGAAATATAAATTTTGTAAGTTTTTATATTTATAAAGATAACACATGAATTAGATTGATAAGAGGCTGTTTAAAAATAATATAATCGATATTATAAAACTGATTATTATAAAATAATCAGTGAGTCAGAAGAGACCGTATTTATGCTGTGCAGTTCACAGAAAGGAAATCTTAATATTTTTATAATTTGGAGGAATGAGAGGGGTAGAAATTAGCTGTGTCAGCAGCAAATTATGTTATTTTTTTAGGTTCCTGAGAATTGAACAGAATCTACTGCAATATTTTAGAATATTTCTGTGCTACAATTAGATAATAAAACATTTTCTAAAAGGAATATATACTAATTATTATTTATATATTCCTTATAAAAAGAAAAATTTGCATGACATATATTGAGAATAGCCTTCCTTATCTAAAAATCAATGATATAAAATATTCAAATCATTTTGGTCATAAAGAATATGCAGCGAAACCTCTTTCTTAATGTAAGGAAACTGGGCTAGATTAATTATTAAATTAAGGTGCCATTCTGACAGGATTACAGGAAAAGAGATTATCCTTAATGAATAGAAAACCCTTTTAATTTAATTTATTTTATTTATTTATTTATTTTGAGACAGAGTCTCACTGTGCCACCCTTGGTAGAGTACCGAGGCATCACAGCTCACAGCAACCTCCAACTCTTGGGCTTAAGCGATTCTCTTACCTCAGCCTCCCAAGTAGCTAGGACTATAGGCACCTGCCACAATGCCTGGCTATTTTGTTGTTGTTGTTGTTGTTATTGTTGTTTAGCAGGCCTGGTCAGGTTCAAACCCACCAGCCCCAGTGTATGTGGCCGGCACCCTAACCACTGAGCTATGGGCTCTGAGCCCCCTTTTAACTTTTAAAAACGGAAAAATTAAAAAATGATAAAATAACTTTCAAAGATTCTGACACCCTGTTTTATTTTGTTTCATGCATCCCTTCATCTTTCAGGTTATGAGACAGGGTTCACTGCAGCTCCATCAGTCCGATGGCCATTTCTAGGCAAAAGAACCCTTCGTAACATAGGGATCAAAAGTCAAAATGTTCTGCTACGTCTTAATGAACAGACAAAACACTTTTTGTCTTCATGTTGTTACTTTGCCCTTAACAAAAAAGCAAGATGTTAAACACTTTCCTCTCACTTTATTTTTATTTATTTTATTTTTGACAGAGTCTCACTCTGTTTCCCAGGCTAGAGTGCTGTCTCATCACAGCTCATTGCGATCTCAAACTCTTGAGCTCAAGAGATCCTCTTGCTTCAGCCTCTCCAGTAGCTGGGACCACAGGTGCCCTCCACAATGCTTGGCTAGTTTTTGGTAGGGACGGAGTCTCACCTGCCGTGGCCTCCCAGCGTGCTGGGATCACAGGCACCATCCTGGCCTTCCTCGCCTTTGAGGATCAGAGACTGTTCTTACCTACCTGGCTGTGAACTGGCTCGATTTCTACAAGCTGTGGGTTGTGGGTGCTTTTTCAGATATATCTTACATGTTCCATCTGAGGGTAATTTTAACATTCCTGGAGTCTGGAATCTGGACAAGGGAAGACCAAATGCAGAGAGTTCCCAGAAATTTTTAAAATTAAGAATTTTGTTTCAAGAAATTCTTACATAGGGATAAAGATTTTCAAGTTGTTGACATGATGTTATCGTTAGAACACATGCTTGTGTGGGAGCCAAGGACACTCAAAACTATCTCCTATCATTATCTAGTCAACAACAATACCCAAACTGCTACTGAGACGGAGACGTGAGCAAAGTGACTGGGGGATCAATGCACCTCTTCTCCGACCTAACTCTTCTTTTCACCCGCCAACCACGCACTGCTCACCCATTTGCACAGCGCGCAGCTGGTACGGGACAGGCTGTCTTAGAGAGCACCAGAAATAGGGAAAATTAACAAACTTGTATTGATGTTTTTAATATTTTGTATATTTATGTATCAACATATAGAGAAATACTTTGCAAATTATTTTGTAAAATTTTGTCAATAAAAGTACATTTAGGACGGTGCCTGTGGCTCAAAGGAGTAGGGCGCCGGCCCCATATGCCGGAGGTGGTGGGTTCAAACCCAGCCCTGGCCAAAAAAAAAAAAAATCTCATTTTCTCTATGTGTGTATGGCAACCCTCAGGACACCCTATAGTTATTTCCTTTGTGAGAACTAATGAATTCAACAGGCTGATGTTTCTGACTAGAGAACATTTAGTTTAATTTTGTACAGTTGAGCTCTCAACTATATTAACAAAATAATAAAACCTCAACAAAATTAAAGATAATAGTATTACCCTTTCATAATGTAATCACCTAATCATTGAGCCAATTTTACCAGGTTAAGATCTAATAGAAATAAATCAATCTTGATAAATTTGGGAACACGAGTCCTTTATTTAAGGACTTTTTCTTACTTATCAAGTAGTTAGACAAATGATAAAAAAACGTGATTGAGTTTTTCAAAGTTCTTTTAAAATAACTATGATTGTATAATTTATTGTCCTTTCAGATGTTATAAATTACTATGTTTGCTGAATTCTTTTCCTCTTACAAACTTAAATATACATTGTGAAACATAAAGGCTGTTTTAATATTCTTTAGTTATTCATTATGTGCTTTCTTACCCTGGTCAGAAGGAAAACACAAAATGTTTACAAGACACTGGGGACAGCTGGGGACAGCTCACTCCGACCTAACACAGTAACACTGTCTTTACCCCACTGCTGCTGCTGGGACGAGCCCCACTGCACGAGCCCACAGCGGCTTCCTGGAGCCACTGCACACAGGGAGTCTATAAACACAGCACAGCATCACTCACATCTACAGAAGGCCGCGGACGTCTCTGACCCTCCAGACAGACCATACATGACCGCAAGCCTCCCGAGAAATCATTCTTCATTACTGGAGAAATAGAAACATCACGATCCCTGGCCTGGGCAAAAGAACAGTTGCACTGCTACAGCTAAGTTTTATTCTTGGCTTTCTGATACCCAAAGCACGTTCAGAAGCCATTTTCTGTAAGAGCTTGTTCCTTGTTTTGTTTTTAAACATCATAAAATGTTTAGATACCTGAATTGCTTCTCTGTACTGAAAATAATATACCAAACAATAAAGGAGAGTGAAAGTTATAAAAAGAACAAAATCAGAGCATATAACAGATGCTGAGAAAAATCAGAAGTCAAACTGCTTTCTACAAGCTTGGTATCTTTCTAACCCATGTAGAGAAAAGAAACAGGTGGGCGGGTAGGAGAAGAGGACGGGGCATTAAAGAATTCATCTAATGAGTTCGTAGACTTTTGTTCTTATCTATCTTACCCTGCATATAAAATTTCCTAGCAATTTTATTTTGGCCAAGGTTAGTGTTCATGTCCTCATTTGTTTTAAAAACATCTGAATCCTTACACTGTTTGTGCAGGGTCGGGGTGAGAACCCTCCAGTCTGCCGCCTCCTAACCCTGCCCTGATTCTACCCAGGGTCTCTAACTCTCGCTGCTGTATGGTCTTACCAGGGACAAGAGTCACACTGTGCTCCGACTTCTGCACCTGATGTAAAAAAATCAGCACAATGCATGGAGTCATTTCTGAGTATATATTTTCTATTTCTCTTCAGATACAGTTTCTGAGGACAAATAAAAACATTAGTAATTTTGAGGTCCATTTCCTTATTTAAAAAAAGGAAAATAATGACTTAAACACATAAATATAGTTTTTGAAAATTCTTCGTTATATTTAGATTGGTTGAAAGTTGCTTATTTGTATTTAATGTACAGAACCAAATGAAACCTGAACTTGCAAACAGCAAGTACATGAAAGGACGTTCTCCAGCACGTGACCTATCTAAAGACAAACAAACAAAAAAACTGACCTAATTTCAGAAATTTTTTGTCTTTAACAAATGGGCTGTGGTGCAAGATGGCTGGAGGGAAACTTCCATATAATTTGGGACCAGATACTTACACAAGAAATGAGGAAAGCTAGACAGAAGGCATTTCATTGTCAAATGAGTGGCATTTCACGTTGACATAGCACCTTACACACACAAAGTGCTGAAGGAGGGTCACTTGATAGACATTCATCACATGAATAAATGTGGTTTATCATCTGCCCTCGGATGCAAGCACTTGGAAGCAACCAAATACCCAAGAAAATCTGCTCAGTAACGAATTCCTGGACTAGTAAATAGACGTAAGAAAAAAAAGTCAAGAGACTTGTCATAATACCACATATAAGAAGTTACTTACTAAACTTAATGACTGATACGAAGATGTTAGGTGTCAGAAATTACTGAGAAATGGAAGGGTTTATATTAAGAAATAAGTAAAACAAATGAGGCCTAAGTCACCAAGTAGCCCAAAAGGTGAGGCTCCCGTAACTTGGAAATACGTGGATGAAAGAGAGCTCCTCCAGGTGCCAAGAGCAAACAAAGCATAACGTCAGCCACACTGCTGGAATCCGATCCTCAGGTATGAAGATACTCCAAAAGAAACTAAAAAAAGTTAATGCACTGCCAGACTTTTTTCTTCTGTACTATAACCCCCAAATTACCTCACCAATGCATTCACTTCTGCCAGTAAACAAGATAGCAGGAAATTATGTAATTTTACATATTCACGTTTTAAAAATAGTCTCCAAATCTTCGGACAATTTAATTTCCTATAAAACAATATGAAAATGCATTTTTTCCTCTAAATAGTTCTACTAGGTGCTTTAAATAAGGACTGATTAGCACCTCTGTCGATCTATTTATGTCTTTGCAAAAAGAACACTTCAACCATTTTATATAGTAAATATGCAAGTTATTTGAAGTGCATTTGGAAAACAATTGAAACACAGATTAATACATCATAAAAAGATTAATTCCCTTTAAACAAAGACATTCTTATAAAGCATGATAACACAGAGGCACAATAAGGAATATAAATTGTGTATCAATTATTGGCAGAAAATCTAATTCATTACAAAGCCTACACTTTGGGGGAAGAGGACGTTTTCGTACAAAGAAAAGTATTACACTATTATACAACATTTTTAATTGGACATGTACAAATTTTTGGCACATTAAAAGGAACTGAAAGGACTACGAAATAAAGGTCAAAGAATCTAAAACAAAGATACAGGAGAGAGAAAGTCCTCAAATGAGAAACACTAACTATTAACACAGAAGAGAAACAAAAAGTGAGCTGGCTGAATTTCCTGAAATGCTGTTCTATGTAACAGAAGTAAGCTTTGAACGCAGGCTGCTGCTAACGTCTAGGGGCCAGACCCCTCTACCTCGCTGTGGCGGGCTGCACGTGGCCTGGGTAGGATCTCCGCGTGCTGGTTGCTTGCCTTTGCCGAGCCAGGAACGACTGCCCCGAGCCTGTGCTCGCCAGTCTGTCTTCAGCTGCCTTTTTATGAAGAGTCATTCCCTGGAACAGAAGAAAAAGCGTAATCAATGAAAAAATGGTGAGCAATACTCTGATAAAAGAAAATTTCATCATGCAGAATTTGTTACATTGCATCGAAAAGCAGAATTAGGAATATTAATTCTACTCATTACAGATTAAAGTCTTAACAAAGGCATTTGAGTTGCAATGATCAGGTATAAATCTTTTGCCAAAAATTCAGGCTTAATCGTCTGATTTCACAATAACCAAAACAATAGATAAGGGAGACAGACCTTTCGAATCCATTACCCACACTCAGTCACATTTCCCTTTCAAATTAAATGTGTAAAGTGATTTTCCAATTGATTAGCAGCAGCTGATTCACAGGGGCTGTGAAAATCACTGGGCTTATTTAGAATACAACAGAAAAATGAACTTGTTTCGTAAGGTGGAGGCCACACGAGGTATCATACATACATACCACTACGGTGTTTTTCTTCACTTCAAGGCAGAACTTGTATTCTCAAATTAAGAAAAGTTCCTGACAGCCCAATAGAGGGCCCGACCGAGAGCAGGGGGTCTCTCTTGAAGACAGAAGGACCACTTACTAACAGCAGGACCCAGAGCAAGGGAGGAAACCTTCAGGGCACCCTCTGGCAGGAGGAACAACAACAAGGGCGCAGTAACACCACCGTCCTCAAGGCAGAAGTCTATGAGTAGATCAGGGGAAAGGCAGCCCTTTGTACTTGTTCAGTAAGCCAGAGAAGAACTCTAGCCAGATAAACACCAAGAACTGAGAGCTGCTGCTTAATCCCACCACAGACTGGATGCAAGCTAACTGCTGGGGAGCAAGTGGAGGTTGCAGCAAGGAGAGAAGCAAGAGCACAGTGAGAGGGAGAAGCCACGCTGCGGAAGAGACACAGCTCTGGGGTGGTGCCTGTGGCTCAGAGGAGTAGGGCACGGGCTCCAAGTACCAGAGGTGGCGGGTTCAAACCCAGCCCCAGCCAAAAATTGCAAAAAAAAAAAAAAAGAAAGAAAGAAACACAGCTTTCCTGGCATGAAATGAGCAATGTGCAAGGAAAGAGAAGCTGAGAAGACACATCTTCCCATCACTCGGTAGTTTCTAGAGAAAACACAGGCAATGGCTCTGCACTCCTAATATAATTTCAGTGTATCAATATATCTTCACATACACTACCTTTTCCAAATGAGAAAAATCTAGAACATGGTTTGCTTTGTTTTTTGAGACACAGTCACTTTCTGTTGCCCTGGGTAGAGTGCCATGGCGTCACAGCTCACAGCAACCTCAAACTCTTGGGAACGTTCAAGTGATCCTCTTGCCTCAGCCTCCGGAGTAGCTGGGACTACAGGTGCCCACCACAACACCTGACTATTTTTACAGATAGGGCCTCACTCTGGCTCAGGCTGGTCTTGAACTCCTGCGCTCAGGCAATCCACCCGCCTCAGCGTCCCAGAGGGCTAGGATTACAGTCATGAGCCACCACACCTAGCCCTAGAACAAATTTTTAACTCAGTTTGAAATTAAAACATTTAAGGTTTGAATAAAATTGTCAAATATCTATTGGTAATCTTTAACTCACTAATTAGGCTACATATATTAAAAACTATTTGATTTAAAGTATTCTAATTTTTTACTCTCACATTTCAAACAATTTTATTTAAATTCTTCACCCGTGCAAGGCCATTCTCTGAGCTACCTAATCCCCTGCCCAGGACTAATCATCTTCATTCTCACTCAAGTCAGCTGAGATGCAGAACTGCGTACGGTCATGGGTTTTCTTATCAGAACATAACTTGTATGAGTCTACCGGGAGTTCTTCCTTCACTCTGAAGAGGTGAAAATTAGTCCATTCTCTACTACCATGTCACAGAATCAATACATCTGGCTCCATAAGAAACATGATATGTGAAGTCATAAAAGCCAATCAGGAATAGGAAATGACCAAGAGGACTGAAATGAAGGTGCCCAGGTCAGCAGCATGGAGGACAAAGAAGAGAAGAGTAGCTCAGAGTCGGGACCCACTCCCGGAACTTCCTTAAGTACGGTCTTCTTTTCTACCGTTAAATGTAGTTTTTAAGAAATCTACATTTGTTGGCTCGGCGCCTATAGCTCAACTGGCTAAGGCACCAGCCACGTACACCTAAGGTGGCGGGTTCAAATCCCCAGCCCGGGCCCACCAAACAACTATGACGGCTGCAACCCAAAAATAGCCGGGCGTTGTGGCAGGCGCCTGTGGTCCCAGCTACTTGGGAGGCGGAGGCAGGAGACTCGCTTGAGCCCAGGAGTTGGAGGTTGCTGTGAGCTGTAATGCCATGGCACTCTACCCAGGGGGACAGCTTGAGGCTCTGTCTCAAAAAAAAAAAAAAAGAAATCTACATTTGTTAACGATAATAGTATCTTAAACCCAATATGATTTCCTTTTTTGATTTTAAAAATTGTGATAAAAATCTTAAATAGTTTGACCAAGACAAATATAAATGTGGATATGTCATGAATTTGACAAAGACCAAATCACATTATCAGGAGGCCAGGGACAGGAGGCAGAATCAATTACAACTGTAAAACAGAAACCATGACCCATGCCAACCACAGAGCAATGGGGTCAGAGGGGGATGATGAAAAGAACCCGGACGGGTTTTCTGTCCCAGACAACTAACATTTTGAAAAGGTGAGGAAGGTTGGGCGGGTAGCTTACCCCTGTAACCCCAGCTCTCTGGGAGGTGGGGGCAGGTGGATGGCTTGAGCTCAGGAATTTAAGACCTGCCTGAGCAAGAGTGAGATCCCATCTCTACAAAAAACAGAAAAATCTTTACTAAAAATTAAAAAAAAAAAAAATTAACCAGGTGCTGTAATGCTTGGGTGTAGTTCCAGCTACTCGGGAGGCTGAGGAAGGAGGATCACGCGAGCCCAGGAGTTTGAGGTTGCTGTGAGCTAGGCTGAGGCCACAGCTAGAGCCTGGGTGACAGAGTGAGAAGAAAAGGGGGAGGCGGAGGGAGAGGGGAAGGGGAAAGGAAACTTCCCTGGCCTCTAGTCTTGGCCTCCCAGGTGCGAGGATTACAGGGAAGGGAAGGGAAGGGAACGGGAAAGGAAAGGAAAGGCAGAAGAAGTGTTTTACTGGGGAAGAGCAACAGAGTAAGGAAGACGGAAAGTCTAGGGGGAAAATATTGAAAATACTGCTACATTCTTTAAATCCCTAACTATTCGTACGGAGACCAGAATCGTGATGAGCATCAGATTTTTTGCGTGTGTTTTGGGACTTTCCATTTCAAAACCTCCAAGAGCTCAGGGTCTGCCACTGTGAACAGTTTCCAAACCCCAAGAGGGAATTAAACTACCCTCCATCTAAGTACCATCCTACAGAAGCACCGAAATAGTCCCACAAAATAAAAGCTACCGCAGCCGTGTTGAGGTATTATTAATGTCCTTTTCTCTCACAATCAACGGTTCTGAGGGACAGAGATTAAGCTTACATTTATCTTTCTGCCCTGTAGAAAGGGTGCTGTTGTCAAATGCTCTAGCCCTGTTTGGGTGCAGTATTAGGTTCTGTTAGTGTATGTTAGGATAGCAATTACTTTCAGATCCACTGGGTAGAATTTCTTCTGGAGTAAAGGAAGTACCACACGCATTACGCAGTCATGGCACCCTGGATCATGTTCTGAAGTGCTGTTCTCTTACCATATTGTACCAGGCGCTAACAATATATTTCTCCTCCATTTCTCTCTGACTCTTTGTTTTCTCATATTCTTTCTGAAAAGCAAGCACATGTAAATATGAAAAGATATAAAATAACTCAACATAAATAAAACAATTATAATTAGCTGTCTAAATCGTGGACACAGCTGCACTGCAAAGATCCCAGAGAATAAAGACCCAAACCCGGATGCCGTATTGCACAGTAAGCAGACTACCTCCAGGGAGTGGAACAGCCGGTCCCGTTCCTGGAGCTGATTTTTAAGAGCCTGGATTTCCGGTGCTGCTCCTTGATTCTGCTTAGGGTCTAAAGTACGGATAACCTGCAAATATAATATAGAAACATTTAAAAGGTTTTGATCTTAAAAGATACAACATCTAAGAAAGCAATTACTATATATACATATATTTTTAAATCAATGATAAGCTTGCAGAAATCAAAGGCTATCTTCTAATAGTACTTTGCAAGTGAATGCATGAAATAATATTAATTGTTGTAACTTTTTTCCTCAAAACAGGATCTGGCTCTGTTGCCTGGGATAGAGTGCAATGGTGTCATCACAGCTCACTGTAACCTCTAACTTCTGGGCTTAATCCATCTTCCTTCCTCAGCCTCCAAGGTAGCTAAGAGTACAGGTGTGTACCACCATGCCTCTCTAATTTTTCTATTTTTGTAGAGACGAGGTCTTGCTATGTTGCTCTGGCTAGCCTCAAACTCCTGCCTCAAGTCTCAGCTTCCCAAAGTGCTAGGGCAACAGGCATGAGCTACTGTACCTGGCTATAATTGTTTTAACTTACAAAAAAAATTGTTAATGGCTACATAGTGATTATACATATTATAACTTTTTAATTATATAAAAGAATCAATTATAAGAAGTGATTCTGGCTAAAATTAATAAATACAGTCATGTGCTACATAATGATGTTTGAGTTAACAATGGACCACGTGTGTGATGGTGGTTTCTTGAGATTAACGGAGCTGAAATAGTCCTAGCACATGAATAGTTACCATTGTGGTATAACTTCCCTGCACTATTCAGTACAGTCATGTGCCCCAGGAGTTTGTAGCCCAGGAGAAGTGGCCACAGCACATGGCCCAGATGTGCAGAGGACTGCGCCCTCCAGGCTTACGGAAGGACGCTCTGTCTGCACCACAACAGAGCTGCCCCCTGCTGCATTTCATAACATTCCCATAGCTAAGCCACACATGGCCGTCCAGCAGGCAGTACCGGCAGCTCTCCACCCCTTCCCTTTCCTCTGATCAGGTCGGCAACCTCACCTCTCAACAGGTGTGTGCCTCAGGGAATGGTCCTCAGTGGTCAAGCCCCTCGAGGGGCCCCACCCCCTCCTCTGCTGGTAGCTCAGCCTGGGTGTGGGCACTGGGCCTGTTCTGGCTGGTCAACAAGAGTAATTCTGGGAAGTCTTTTTACTTTTTTCCCTAAAACTTTTAACTATCAAAATGCCCAAGCCCGCAGAAAACTTGAAAGGGCAGAACAATAAAACCCTATTTACTTTTAATCTAGATTCAGCAATTGCTACACACGCAAACACGGTTACTTGTCTCTGGGACTATTTTAGAGCTATTTGCAAACTTCATGACACACAACCCTTAAATACTTCAGCATGAATATTAGATTAAGGATACTATCCTACATAATTAAAATACCATTATCAATCTGTAAAAAAAAAAAAAAAGAAAAGAAAGAAATAAAGAAAGGAACAATTCTGTAGAATGACCACTATTTGGTCCGTGACTTCCTCTTGCCCCAGTCCGGGACACGGAGGTGAACCCCCTGCGTTGCAGATCAGGTGCGGCTCTCCCATGTGCCACTGCCTACTTCGTGTTTCACAGCAAGGACTTTTATCCCAAAGCTTGGATTTACCTGGTGGTTTCCTGAAGGTGTTATTTAACTTGTTCCCATAAGCCTCATTTTCCCTGTGAACTGGAAGTGCCTGGCATCAGGCTGATTGTTCCCTACAGTGATACTCCATGGGGGGCAAGGATGGTGCTGCTGACTTTGGAGACTGCCTATGGTGGTACCTGTCGTTTGTCTCCTATGTCAGGGCTACGTCCTCCTGGTAATTAGGAAGTGATCTGCACAGTGACCAATTTCCATCACTGTTTCTCGCACAGGCTCTTGACATGTTTTACAAGATCTGTTTCTCCCTGTGTGAAACTCACCGCACTGCACTCGCACCACAATCCCAGACTGCGGGACACAGTCACCAAGTGGAGGGAGACAGCCACAGATTCTTACTTACACTTTTGGCTTTCTCTAAGTATTTTTTATATCGTTCTTCCATTTGCTTCATTTCTTCTTCTTTCTTCCGTAAAGCTTCTTGTAATTCTTCGATTTTTAAGGCTGTAGAAAAGACATAGTAAAGAAAATATTTTTGGATCATAACAACTTTAAATTTATTTCAACTGACTATTGATAAATAGTTAAAAGCTTGGAGAGACTGTATACACAATCTTCTTTTTTAAACATCAATTCATAGCTGGATGTGGTGCCTGTGGTGCCTGTAGTCCCAGCTGCTTGGAAGGCTGAGGCAGGAGAACTGCTTGAACCCAGGAGCGGGAGGCTGCAGTGCCCTATGACTGAGCCACTGCACTCCAGCCTGTGCAGGAAAGTGAGACCCCAGCTGTAAAAACAGGCAAGGAAAACAAATAACCAAAACCTAATTTATAATTTTTTTTTTTACAGAAAGCTTTTCTTATAAACAAAAATTCTGTCCAATTTTTATTGTATATATTAGTCATAGTAGTATAGAGTATATAAATTAAAAATACCAGTTGATGATGAATGGATAAACAAAATGCAGTATGTATGTACGAGGTACTATTATTACTCAGCATTAGTTCTGATACTTGCTACAACATGAAGATATTACGTAAGTGAAACTAGAAGGACACAAAAGGACCAGTATATCATTCTAGTTACATGAATTACCTAGAACAGTCAAATTCATAGAGACAGAAAGTAGAATGTGGGCGACCGGGCCCTGGGAAAGGGAGGAAGGGAGAGTTACTGTTTAATGGGTATAGAGGTTCAGCTCGGGATCATGAAAAAGTTCTGGAAATGGGTGACAGCGACAGCTGTGCAACAATGTGAATGTACTTAGTGCCACTGGCTGTATACTTAAAATAGTTGTTTTGTTACGTATATTTTACCACAATAAAAAAGTAATGCTTGTACTCTCACCCCTTACAAAAGAATTAACAAAGTCAGGTCACCTACAGGTATAAATATGTCTATGGAAGTATTAGTTTGACTGACTTAAATATGTTAACTACAATATGAAAATATCTAACTTCATATAATATTCATTGGAATTCACAGTTGCGGAAAAATTTATATGTATAAGTATTTTTATTTATTTATTTTTTGAGACAGAGTCTCACTGTTGCTCCAGGCTACAGTGCTGTGGTCTCATAGCTCACAGTAACCTCATATTCCTGGATTTAGGAGTCTCCTGTCTCAGCCTCCTGAGTAGCTGGGACTACAGGCACCCAGCACAATCCCTGGCTAGTTTTTCTATTTTTAGTGTAGATGGGGTCTCACTCTTGCTCAAGCTGGTCTCAAACTCCTAACCTCAAAGGTGCTAACTACCTCAACTCCCAGAGTGCTAGGATTACAGGCATGAGCCACAGTACCCTGCCCATAAGTATAATTAGAAAGTTAGGACATAAAGATGATTATATACTCTTTCTGTAAATAAGGTAAGTTATTTAATTGCTAGAACATGCACCAGGGCCTATTTCTTTTTTTTTTTTCTTGAGACAAAGTCTCACTATGTCACCCTGGGTAGAGTGCTGAGCCGTCACAGCTCACAGCAACCTCAAACTCTTGGGCTTACGTGATTCTCTTGCCTCAGCCTCCCAAGCAGTTGGGACTCCAGGTGCCCACCACGACGCCTGGCTATTTTTTTGTTTTGCAGTTTTTGGCCGGGGCCAGGTTTAAACCTGCCACCTCTGGTATATGGGGCCGGCACCCTACTCCTTTGAGCCACCCGTCGCCTGGCTATTTTTTTTGTTGTCGTTATTGCTGTTGTTGTCGTTTAGCAGGCCGGGACCGGGTTCAAACCCACCAGCCTTGGTGTATGTGGCTGGCACCGTAACCACTGTGCTACAGGCCCAGAGCCAAGGGGCCTATTTCTTAAAAGAAAACTTTTCTCTAAACGCATTGCCGTTAGGGTAGTAAACTTTTCTCTAAACGCATTATCGTTAGGGTAGTAAACTTTTCTCTAAACGCATTGTCGTTAGGGCAGTGCACGGTTAGCCATTTTGGATCTCCGCTCCTTCCTCAGGCACTCACAGCTGTGGGTGAACCTGGGCTCCAGGTCCTCGAGGATGGCCCGCTTCTTCTGCAGTTCGTTGTTGGCCTCGTGCAGCTTCTCTCTGCAATAAGACACAGCCCCGCGTCACCTGCTGCTGCCACCAACACTTCCCACCTCAAATTAAAGACCTGAGCTCTTTATACTTGGGTTACGCGTGCAGTGCACACAAGGGCTATCAACTAAAGATGAAAAGACTAAGCTAACATAATATAAATATATATTTAATATATATATTAAAACGTATTTTAAAAAGAAGTAAATGTATTTTAAAAAGAAGTAAAAAATGAATGTATTTTAAAAAGAAGTAAAAAAACGAAAGACAAACACTTCTGCTTTGTTTGATGTAAACCTGCATAACAAGGAATACATACCTTTAGTTTTGCTAGGAATATGATATTGTAAAAATTAAGTTTAAAACTTTGCAGAGGTTTTACAATTTTGCAACCTCTGTTGCAAAAAAGTGAAGTTCTAAAAATTAGAATTAACAGGCTGGGTGTGGTGGTTCATGCCTGTAATCCCAGCATTCTGGGAGGCCAAGGTGGGTGGATTGCTTGAGCTCAGGACTTAGAGACCAGCCTGAGCAAGAGTAAGACCCCATCTCTACTAAAAATAGAAAAACTATCCAGGTGTGGTGGTGGGTGTCCGTAGTCCCAGCTACTTGGGAGGCTAGGGCAGGAGGATCACTTGAGCCCAGGAGTTTAAGGTTGCTGTGAGCTATCATGACACCATAGCACTCTACCCAGACTGACAGAGTGAAACTCTGTCTCAAAAAAAAAAAAAAAAAGAATGAAAACAAAGCCCAGTGAATTGCCACTAAGCTTAGAAACAGAAATTATCCCCAAAACTTGGAAGTTGTGTGTGTGTCTATTCCCTTCCCTAAGGTAACCAAATTACCAAATTTTAATTATTCTCATGATTTTCATGATAGTTTTACTATCTTTGTGTTATTCCTGAATAATATCTTGCCTAATCTTGTCCGATTTTTACTTTATACGTTAATCATTACATGTTATATTTGCACCTTGCACTAAACATCAATGTTCTTGACACTGACCTAAGCTGATGTGTTGGCTCTAGTGTGCACATTCTCCCCCCTGCAGGGTGCACTACTGTTTGAATGTACTTCATTCTAGCCCCTTCCCAGTGGTAGACATTTGTGTTGTTTCTCCTTTTCTGTGATTACAGACAATGTTCTTCTACATGTCTCTGGTACACAGGAACAACAATCTCTCTCGGAATCTAACTGAGAGGTCACAGAACACAAGGGTTTCCGGAAGGCATCCAGACATAGTTAATACTATTTTTGACACTGTATAGCTGGACAGATACTTAACAGACAACCCTCAGATATGCATGTTCAAGTTCACCAAGTAAACTGATGTATACACTGACCAGTGCTGGACAAGACTTACCACTGCTCAACAGCTTTAGCAATCCTTTGCAGGCAAGATTTAAAAAATATTTACCAGTTTGGTGTGTGTAAAATGATCTCTACTATAGTTTTAAATTTGTATGAGGCTGACTACTTTTTTTTTTTCTTTTTTTGAAACAAGAGTCTCACTCTGTTGTCCTGGCTAGAGTGTCATAGCTCATTGCAACCTCAAACTCTTGTACTCAAGTGATCCTCTTGCCTCAGCTCCTGAGTAGCTGGGACTATAGGTGCCCATCACAGTGCCTGGCTAGTTTTTCTCTTTTTAGTAGAGATGGGGTCTTGCTCTTGCTCAGGCTGGTCAAACTCCTGAGCTCAAGCAATGCACCTACCTCAGCTGCCCAGAGTGCTGGGATTACAGGCGTGAGCCACTGTGCCGGCCAAGACTCATCATCTTCTGAGACGTCTATGGGCCTTGTCGTGGGCTGAACTGTATCTCCCCAAAAGATAAACTGAAATTCTAATCCCTAGGATGCATGGGTGTGACATGTTTTGAAAATTGGGTCTTTGTAGATGTTCTTAGCTAAGATGAGGCCATCGGGTGGGCTCTACATCCAATGACGGATGTCCTTTTAAGAAGGCCATGTGAAGACACAGACAGAAGAGAAAGTGACAGGACCACAACCTGATGAACACCAAGAACTGTGCAGCCACCAGAAGCTGGGAGAGGGGCACACTCTTCCTAGAACCTCAAGAAGGAACCAACCTGCCAACACCAGACTTGCAGCCTCCAGAACTATGAGAGAAATTGGTTGTCATGAGTCACTTATGCTTTGGGGTAATTTGTTTTGGCTGCAACAAGAAACTAATCCAGCTTCCATCTACACTAATAAATCCGTTCTGATGGAAATTTTTACCACGTAAATGACCGAGCACAGAACAATGGTCAGAAAGTAGTTTTACCAAGTGACAGGTATTCGATCCTTTGCCATGAAAGACTGGGAGATAGGGGGAAAGGGACAAGATTTAGCACTAAGTTCTCACTGTGGATAATCTCACAGAGGCGAGGTGACGTTTTCTGTTCTTCTAGGACAGTAAGATCCTGCCCACTGTTGAGACTTTCTAGCAAATCTCAGTCGCTAGGAGTATTTCACGTCTTCCATGGTAAAAATAAAAACAAAAAACACCCCAAACTGAATTGCATGAGACAAACTGCGAGGCAAGAGAATTTCCTTCTGATGGTAGTAACATAATCAAAGTGATCTCTGTGGGACTGAGGATGTCTGGGTTAGGCCAGTGTAACATAGTAACACTAACAGGCTAGCAATTCATGCACTGACTAGGTGAGTGTTGTGGTGGGTGCCTATAATCCCAGCTACTTGGGAAGCTAAGGCAAGAGGATTGCTTGAACCCAGCAGTTTAAGTTTGCTGTGAGTTACACCCCCTACGGTGCTAGTCTGGGGAACCCTGGAGTCTCACATGAGAAAACATTTGTGAAGCAGCCCCTGTTCTAAACCGAGGGCCTGGGCAGAGACAGACACTATGAATATGCACTGTGATCTCTGCATCTTCCAGACCACCTGTGCCAGCGCCCAGGCGCTCTGCACCACCTGACATAAAGCACTGCCAACCACAACAGAAGAAGAGCCTCAGCAGCTTTTGTACTTACAGATGTTCCTCAAGCTTCTTTTTTAGAAGAACTGACTAAAAAAAAAAGAAAGAAAAACCCATCAGTTTATTACCTAAATGAATATATTAAATTTTTACAATTAAGAGTACAATAATAAGTATTTTGAGCAAGTCCTCAGTAATTTCTCTGGTCAAAGACCTCAAAACACATAACATACTCCCATTTGACTCTTTTTAACAAAGGGAGAGAGCAGCCCATGAAGGGTGCAATCAGCACAGACTCCCAGAAACTGGACACCCGGATTCTCTGTTTGTAGAAGTCTCTAATATTCCTGGACTCTTGTGATAACAGACTTTCCTTAAGACTCCTTTTAGCTGCTGTACTGTTTTCCTTGCATCATGGTAAAGTTTTGGATCAATTCCCATAAATACTTCTGACTCATCAGTGATTTATAAAAATGCACAGGTTGCAAACCCCCTGTGTGATGGCACGGGAATGTGACAGATGGTGTATGCGTGGAATTTGATACACTTGAGAATGTAGCTTTGACTGGGTGTTTTAAAAAAAGGTCTCCTGAAAAGCAGACCAAAATTAACCTAAAAATGAACAATGAAGGCATTCTATAAAGGACCACTAAGTTTCATAACTAAACAGTCGCAGGGTACATATTATTAATGAATTTTATGAACTATTTCACTTCAAAATCCAATAATTAATATAGGCTTATAAAACAAATTCTCCAATTAATCAACAGCAGCAATGAGGGGAAAAGAATTTGAATATCAAGTTCTTAGATTTTCAGTTGTCTTATTTGATGATTACCATAACTCAAGTCCATTCTAACATAGCTCTAGGGTATTTCAAATTCTCTTATACGTTAATATAGCTAGTCAGTACTACAGTGACCTCTGTTACTGCCCCCCCAATATACAGAAAGATAATAACCCTGTAAATGCTGGATTATTGTTCATTCCTTCTTTAGGACAAAGGGTAAAATACAAATACAGCAGAATCTGCAAGTTGGCCAACCAAGGGACTGTAACACACTGGTCACCATGAGAAGCTAGGGCCACTGTACTGATACGCACGTGTGGTGTGTGTGGGCCACTGTACTGATACGCACGTGTGGTACGCGTGGGCCAGTGCACTGATATGCACGTGTGGTGCATGTGGGCCACTGTATTGATATGCACGTGTGGTGCGCGTGGGCCAGTGTACTGACACGCACGTGTGGTGCGCGTGGCCCACTGTACTGACACGCATGTGTGGTGCGCGTGGGCCAGTATACTGACACGCACGTGTGGTGCGTGTGGCCCACTGTACTGACACGCACGTGTGGTGCGCGTGGGCCACTGTACTGACACGCACGTGTGGTGTGCGTGGGCCAGTGTACTGATACGCATGTGTGGTGTGCGTCCCATCTGTGAACATTAGGTTAGCTTAAGGAGGGAGGCAACTATGGAGGTTCTACTGTACTTTTTTAAAACTTTAAATTTAATCTTGTACTTATATTTTGATTAGACTCTAGCACAAATTTTAACTGAGATAATACTACAGAATAAAATGATTAAATAAGTGGTTAATATGTGTGTCAGGCAGTGTGCTAAGTCACGCCACGCACGTGGCCCCAAGGAAACCTCCTAAGGCTGGTGTGCAGCAGCTGTCCAGCGACAGACCTGAGAACCCAGGTCTGCCAGACCCAGCATCTGCGCACGGCCTCCCCTTCAGGCTCTGCACAAATAGACTATCACTATCAACACAGTGTGGCGGGAGAGGCCAGACAAGAGGAAGCCAGCATCAGAATAACTGACGTAAAGGCACTAATAATGGCGTGGAGCAGAAGTGGGATGGGGGGAACCCCAAGAGCAGACTTCTTTGGGTTTGGCTTTCTAAGATCTCGAATCCTGTAAGTGTCTTAGTGGTAAGGGTCACGAACCTACACAAGGCAAGTAACACTGATAAGCACTTTGCATGAAATTGCCTTAATTAAACATTTCAATCCCATCAACTGTGATGGCAGATAATCAAATAAATCAAAAAACTGCTCAAAATAAAAAATGAAAAGGAAACCGTACTTACAATGGCCTTGAGCAGAAACCACGCCAGAGACAGAGAGGACAAATTAGTACCAGGCAAACACAGCAGGCGAGAGAAGATCGGTTAGTAATTCATGAACACAAGTAAGAGACAGACATTGTTTTCAGAAATGTACGTTTTTCTTCCTTCTACGGTCTCCTCATCCTGTCTTGTTCTCTGTAGTTTTACATACTGGGGCTAGCTCAAATTATCCATATGACTGGATATAACAATGCTTTTCTGCTTCCATGCTAAAAACAAATGACATAACAATAATAATAAATAATAATAAAAATGTGCAAAACATCCTGCTTTGACTTAAGGTCACATGAAAGGACTAGGCTTTAGACAACAAAAGAGGCAGAAATTATGCTGTTCTTGGTCAGGAGGGACCGGGTCCTCTGGCAGGCCCGACTGCTCTGTGTGTTACGTACTCCTGAGACGCAGCACTGCAGGTTAGCAAGAGAGGAGAGAGACAAAACAAAAAATCTGCTGGGGGAAGAACCACATTCTGCAGCGCACTGTTCTTTCTCTAAAGCATTTGGAGGCAAAGCTTCAGCCATCTGAGTCTTTGCTACATGGAGGAAAGTGCTGAGAGAGAATTTCTGCTTAGTTTAAAGCAAGGCATCTCATTAGCATCTGGACAAATGAAGAGACTAATTTATGCAAACAGTACTTCATGGGGCTGGCATCTCACCTCTCAAAGTCCTCTTTAATACTTTTATTACTCTTAAAGTAACAGCACACAGCATTGTAAATTAGATTTTAACTTATCATATTGGTTTTTGAAGCATAAATGCTTTTTTAATGCTTTAATTCAAGTAAGAGAACCAAGGTCAAGGTGATCACTTGACACTACAGTTTAGTTGATCCTGGTACTTCTCCACTTTTATCTCCAATGTGCAATTTGCCCTTCTCCTCCCTGACATAACAAATCAACAAAAAGCCTCCTCAAAGTTCCTCAGACACCAGAATGAACTTTACATTCATCTCAGTTTAAGGGACCTAGAGATTTCACTGAACTAAGAAATGTTACCCCCTTTGGTTCATCTCTACAATCACCCAACTTAGAAAGCAGTGGGTGCTGCCAACACAAATTAGCTGAGAAACTGAGTTTCCAGATTAGCTGAGAAACTGACACAACGTGGTCACCGGGAGTTTTTACATCTCGCGTAGTCTCAGGATCTCCTGTGAATGTACCTGACTCCCCTTATTTGTGTCCTTTTGTTTTCATACCCTCTTATGTTAATAGGGCTGGATGGATGTGGCTAAATCCCCCGTTTTGAAGTTGATCCCCTAAAATGACTCTATCAATGGAAACAAACAGATTTGTGCTCCAATGCCAGAGTTTATAGCTTTTACACCCGTAATAGGAAATAAAAAAACATAACAACAACAAAAAAACAAATCAAAAGAGCTGGCTGAAGCAAAGACTGACCACTAAAATTTAGTTTTTTCTCCCTCTTAACACTATTTTTGAACACTTTGTAAGTCTTTGTTTTATTGTTTACCACTCATTAAATGTAAAGGGTTTGCAAAATGCCTTATTTACACTTCTGCCTGAGACCCACTAGCTGTGGCAGACAGTTAACAGGTAGGGGTGGAGACACAGGTGCTGGACTCCACACAGCTGGACACTGGGGTGAGCGTGCACTGCGTGTGCAGGGCTGTGGCAGGGAAGCAGCAGGTGTGCAGGAGGGAGAAGATAAAATGACCGGAACGGGGAGGAATTCAGAAATTTATAGCTGATGGGATTCTAGGGATGACATTATTTTCTTAAGTATCAATTCCACATTAAAAATTTCTACTTGAACAGACTAAGTTTTCTATTAGCATTTTTTTTTTTTGACCAAAGGAGGGAACCTCATATTTTATCTTTGAATACTGAGTTGAACGCATTTAAAACATAAAGCCTCAACTCATGCCTCAGCTATGACAGGAAGTGAACTTCTGATTCCCAGCAGAGGGACCCTGAAAGAGATAACAAAGTACTGCCTGGTCTTTTTATAAGGAACGTGAGTAAAAAGGAAAATACTGCTTCTTTCTAGGACCAACAGAATGTGAAATTATTTTGATAGAGACCATCAAATAATAAATAAAAGTTATAGCTTTTCAACATTGTAAAATTGTTGAACCACGGTTGGTGCATATTAAAACTTACATCTTCGGCTTTTGAGCCTTGATCCTGTAAAGACTTTTGCAGTTCTTCTACTTGTGACTGTACTTCCAGAAGTCTTTGATTCACCAGCCTAGAAATCAAACATACATTAATTTTCTAAGTACTGACTTATTTATGCCTTTTTCTTTAGGTTGTCATATTGGTTAGGCAGAGCGTATAGTCAGAAAACAAAGTCTCGTGGGACAACAGAACAGTAGTTGTCTTGTGTCATGAGTCACAGCTGACTTTTCTGATTATTTTTTGTATTGCTTGAAATTTCTAATGATGACTTCTAACGTAGGGGTGGGTGACACGTATTTTTTTGGAACTGATGCACTTACGTGTTATCTATTCATCTGAAATTCAATCAGTGAGTGTTTATGGAGTCCATGTATCAGGCACTGTGCTCAGCACCAGTATCAAAAAATCCTGCACTCAAGGAACTCTGGTTTAATGTGGAAGTAAAAATGTAACCAAATAAACAGACAACATCCAAAGAGGTAAAGACTTCAAGACAGTTCACAGAGGCTACAGGAGAGGCAGCGATCTACCAAAGAAGGAGGGAGTCTGTAGGAGCCAAGCAGGCTTGACACTGAGACTATAACCAAGAATAAAATGCTCCTGTGGCTAAGGGTGGACAGGGTTTCAGGACAGAGCGCCCAGGAAAATGAGAGGGTGCAGTGAGTTCAGGGACAGTGTGGCTGACAGGTAAGCTATGGGGGAAAGAACAGCCAGGGACAAAACTGGAGGAGAAAAGGAATAGACTGGGCACCACTTCGAAGGGAACTGAGATTCTCTGAGATTATCCTACAATCCACAAACCTCGATTCCAGCATCTGACCTTCTTAAATTCTCTAGGTCATTACAATGGACATTCAGCAGACCAGTCTGGGTCCCTAAGTCTTGGGTGATACTGAGGGTTGTAAGAAGGGGAAATAGGATCGGACAGTAGTTTACAAAGATCACACTGGTTTTGTTCAAGGGCATCGAAATCCAGGCAAATGAGGGAAACTTGTGCCACCTGTATGTACTCTACCTATTCTCCGTCTCCAGCTCATTCTTGCGTAGATTTGCGTCATCTAGAAGACTCTGCAGTAAGGCAATTTTTTCATTGTCTGAACCCTCTTGGTTAAGTTTTAACATCTTATTCTCATGCTGCAGACGAATAAGTTTCTCCCTGCATGAGCAAAATAAAAACGGATCATCTGGTCCATCAATGCAATATAGGTATCAAAATTCAACTAAGCATGGGTACAGATACATTATACAGAAATAAAAACAAAGTACCTACAGCTAATTTAGCACCGATTACAATTGGCTAGGACATTACATTTCAAGTGTTAAGTACTTTCTTTTCAGAATGGCTAATCTCAATAGAACATTGTCTCTAAAGATCAAAGTTTGTAAATGAATGAGATTTTAAAATCCTATTTCCTTTCTGATTTACATATTTAAGTTGTGAATGTATTCATTCATTTTTTTCTTTGGTTCTCATCAGGAAACATGGTCTCTAATGCTATGCTCTTAAATTACCCATCATTTGGTGGCACCAAGAGGGTTGTCTTCAAGATACACAGTCCATCCATTCCCATAGACACAAGAAACTATTGTGTAACAAGCAGATTATTAGCATTACGCTGTTAGACTTCATTGTTTAGAGCCCTTTGTGCTAAGCCAAAAGCTTACGTTGAGGGATGTTAAAAGTGACAAGCACACAGAACTTGCCACCACATTTATTACAGAATAACACAATTGAATATTAATTCCTATGAAGATGGATTTGCAGAAGATATAGTCCGTTCTTTACACAGGGTCATTTTTAGTAAGCCCCACAAAGACAGTACTATCAGATCTGAGATACTACGAAAAGCTGTGTTTTTCACAGAAAAAGAAAAACCAAATCAAAATAAGAAACACACAAATTTCTCCTCTTATTTTGTAAACCCATAAATCTTAAAAAGTATTTTACCCTTCCTGCTGAAAAGGCAAGCGTCGAATCTGTGACCCAATTCAAGCAACTATATAGAACTTGATATGTTTTGTATACGGGCAATACTGACTTCTTATTTTTCAATTACAAAGTAAACATAGTCATCGTACAGGAAAAAAACACAAACAAAAATAAAATACATTCCCTTCACAATCCTATGGTGCAAAAACACAACCGTTGAAACAGACCCTTCCAATGCTATGCAGATACTGACACACACTTTAAAAATATAGGATCACACAGAACAAATTACTCTGGTATCAGCTATTTACACTTAAAATTTCGCAATCATTTCATAGCATTAAATATTATACTTTAATATTTTAAATGACATGGTGTTGAAATATATGAATGAATCATCACTTATTTCATCAAATGCTCGGTTACCAGGCATTTAGACTTTAGAGCTTTAACAAATTAATAATGATCAGCTTTGTAAATATATCTTTCTATACATCCTCTGTTATTTCCTTAAGAATAATTCCCCCCCAAATAATTCTGGGGTCAAAAGACAGGTGCATTTTTAGATAACAGACACATTCTGCTAACAGGAAAAGTTATACTGCTTTAATCTTCTACCCCAGTTTATGAGATTTCCAATTTCTCCACCTTTATCATCAATGAAGGCCACTGTCTATGACATACGCTGCAGGATTTTCATCTCTATCATTCCATTTTCTTGAAAGCTATTCTGGGCATAGAGCATATTTTGATTTTTGTCTAGACATACTCAGGAAAGCCCTATTTATTGAATCTTTCTGCTTGTTCTTAGTTTAGAAAGCCAACTGTATTACCACCAATAGGCTTCCTTAAAATTGTGGCTTTCTGGACATAATGACGTATTTATAAATATTATGTATTCACTCTACAATTTTTTTTTCTTTTTTTGAGACACAGTCTCACTCTGTTGTCCAGGCTAGAGAGGCATGGGATTCACCCAGCTCACAGCAACCTCAAACTCCTGGGCTCAAGCGATCCTGTGCCTCAGCCTCCCAAGTAGCTGGGACTACAGGCTCCCGCCACAACACCTGGCTAATTTTTCTATTTTTAGCAAAGACCGGGTCTTGCTCTTGCTCAGGCTGGTCTTGAACTCCTGAGCTTAAGCAGTCCACCCACCTCCGCCTCCGGGACTGCTAGGATTACAGGCATGAGCCACCTCACCTGGCCAATTCAACTAACTTTATCAGTTCAATCAGAAAGTAGCATTATCAGACGGCTGAAAAGTAGGCACACACAAGACGCCCCAGACGTGGTGCTGCGTTGTACTTATTTTATTTATACTTAAATGCCAACAAATGAAAATAAATTACCTTCATTTATTCACCAAAAATTTCAGTGCTTATTTTAACTTTTATAGTTTATAAATAAAAATTTTTACACAACCATTACTTCATTTAATACCCAAAGGATGTTGTAAGGAATCAAGATCAGTGTCAATTTTCAAAATGGGAAAACTGACCCAGAAAAGGAAGTGGCAATAGCTGGATTTATCACCTTCTTCCCACTGGACCCTTGGGGCCTCCCCCACCTACTCTTAACTCTTGTGCATATAGCTAGGTTAGAGTGAAGTAAATGGAATTTTTAAAATGCAATGACTCAGTAAAAAATAAGGCATCACTGAGGGAAGAGCAGCAGGGATAGGGAGAGATTTTCTCCTGTCTATACATTCTGTCTTTCCCAGGTCATTCTATGGGGTTTATAGGTCATTATTTTGTTGTTGTTAGTCTTGGTAGAGTGCCATGGCATCACAGCTCACAGCAACCTCCAACTCCTGGGCTTAAGCGATTCTCTTGCCTCAGGCTCCCAAATAGGGAGCCCACCACAATGCCCAGCTATTTTCAGAGACCAGGTCTCGCTGTGGTACAGGCTGATCTAGAACCTGTGAGATCAGGCATTCCACCAGCCTTGGCCTCCCAAGTGCTGGGATTACAGTCATGAGCCACCACAGGTAAATCTTAGTAACTATTTCACAAGTCTATAGCAAAAAGCACAGGCATTGCCTATAGGCCACTGCTAAACGTCTGCTGGGGATACTCAAGGTTCGGACACATTAGTTAGTTTCCTTTGTATGCAGAAGGACTGGCCTGTTGAAGCATGAAAATTAATTCTCTGTAGGGCCAGTTGAAGAAAGCTTCTAACAAGCTGAAAACATGAAAATTCAACACTGAAGTTCAAGTTCAAAGTGTCAGTAATGAAGAATAAGGAACTGATCCTCTGAACATTGTAGAGGAGTGTTTTCCAGGAATACTGTGCAGTGTGACTTTGAACATCCTTAGCTCCTTACCTGATTTCAGGTGTAACAATCTCTGCTGCCAGACTGTCTGAAGACTCCTGACTTCCCAAAGGCATTAACCCTATAAGTATACAAACATGGAAATAAGGTTAATAGAAAGCACAGTTGCTTCCTTCAGTTAACTTGTACTAACCTGATTTGAGTATTGATTTTAACAGCTGAAATCGTTGTTTTTCTCAAGTAAAAGACCATGTCATGGTAGTCTTATGATATTATTACCTGTATTATTTTACCATTTAAACAATACTATTTAACTGTCATGCAAAACAGAAATTCTGTGACCGTTAAGCTAGAACCCCCCATTTCTCCTTCCCCAGCCCTCAGGAGCCTTAGACTTTCTGCCTCTCTCAATGATTTGCCTGTTCTAGATACTTCATGTAAGTGGATACAATAATTGTTATTTGTGCCTGGCTTACATCACTTAACATGGTATTTTAAAGATTCATTCATGTTGCAGAATTTATCAAAAATTTTTTTTGAGACAGTGTCACTCTGTTGCCCAGGCTACAGTGCTATGGCCTCAGTCTAGCTCACAGCAACCTCAGACTCCTGGGGTGAAGTGATCCTCCTGACTCAGCTTCCTCAGTAACTGAGGTTATAGGTGCCTGCCACATCGCCCAGCCAGTTTTTCTATTTTTAGTAGAGACAGAGTCTTGCTCTTGCTGAGGCTGGTTTCAAACTCCTGAGCTCAAGTCATCTTCCCACCTTGGCCTCTCAGAGTGCTAGGATTACAGGTGTGAGCCATCGCACCCGGCCAAAACTTCATTCATTTTTTTTGCTGAATAATAGTCCATGGTATCTACATAGCGTGTTTGTTTATCAATAGGACAGTGAAGTTGTTTCCATCTTTTGGCTACTGTGAATAACACTGCTATGAACATTTGTGTATAATTACCTGGCTGAGTCTGTTTTCAATTGTTTTGGATATATACCTATACTTAAGAATGAGACTGCTGGTTCACATGGTAATTCTGCTTAACTTTTTTTGAAAAGCCATTTTACATGCCCACTGCAATGCACAAGCTTCCGATTTCTCCACATCCTTGCCAACACTTAACACTTATTTTTCTTTTTCTTTGTTTTTGGGTAACAGCTCTCGTAATTGGTGACACCACCTTTTTGGTGGTGACAGTCACCTTTTTTAGTGACTAATGAAGCTCTGCACGTTCCCATGTGCTTATCTGCCACCTGTGTGTCCTCTGTGGAGAATGTCTATTCTAGTTCTGGAACAGATGGTGGTGGTGGTTTTTTTTGTTGTTGTTTGGGGGTTTTTTGCTGTCTCTGTCAAGTTGTAGAAACTGTTTGTGTATCCTGGATATTAGTCCCTGATCAGATTTATGATTTGCAAATATTTTCTTCCATTTGGGGATTGTTATCACCCTGTTTACAATTTCCTTTGAGGCATAAAAGTTTTTAATTCTGACAAAGTCCATTTTATATTTTTTTGTTCATGCCTGTGCTTTTGGGATTAATTCCAGTAAATCAATGCCAAATCCAATGTCATAAAGATTTTACTCTGTTTTCTTCTAAAAGTTTTATAATTTTAGCTCTTATGTTTAGGTCTTTGACCCATATTCAGTTAATTTTTACATATGGCGTAAGGTAAGGATCCAGTTTCATTCTTTTGCATGTGAACAAGCAAAATAGATAATCCCTTTCTTCTTTTTTTTTGTTGTTGTTTGTTTTGAGACTGAGTCTCACTCTGTCACCCTGGGTAGAGAGCTGTGACATCATAGCTCACAGCAACCTCAAACTCTTGGGCTCCAACGATCCTCCTGCTTCAGCCTCTCGAGTAGCTGGGACTACGGGTGTGTACCTATACTGGATTACTTGAGCTCAAGAGTTTGGAATAAACCTAAGCAAGAGCAAGACCCCATCTCTGCTATACTAGAAAAAATAAGCTATGCTGGGGGTAGTGGCTCATGCCTGTAATCCTAGCACTCTGAGAGGCTGAGGTGGGCAGATTATCTGAGCTCACGGGTTCGAGAACAGCCTGAGCAAGAGAAAGACCCCATCTCTAAAAATATCTGGGAGTTGTGGTAGGCACCTCTAGTACCAGCTACTTGGGCAGCTGAGGTAAGAAGATAGCTTGTGTCCAAGAGTTTGAGGTTGCTGTGAGCTACTGATGCCAACACTCTACTGAGGGCAACAAAGCAAGACTCTATCTCAAAAAAAACAATCTGGGTAACAGTTTAAAAATGTATATCAATTTTACTGCCTTGTTACCAAGTTTTTACTTTCATCTGTTGGTGCAATCATCTTAAAGTGAACTTAGTATTTTTACTGAAACCATTGGAAATAAATTATTTGGGGGGCTCCCAAAATGTCTTTACCTTGCGTTGTGAGCTGCCCTTCCTGGGCCTGCACACAGCGAAGCTCTTCAATGGTCTCCTTCAGCGAGTCCCTTTCTGTTCTCAGCCTCTGGCGGGACATGAACACAGGAAGGTGAGCGCCAGGGATTATGAACTGATTCGTCAGTGGTCTTTGCCTCCCCCCCTCAGAATGACAAACAACAGTGAACATGAACATGCTTCGCCTTATGACTTTTTATGAAATTAAGGTGGAAAAAGAAAAACTTCTTTTCTAATTTAACAATACTGAATATCTACCCTGAGCAAGGCAGTGCTGTCCAGTTAAACACGAGAATCAGCACTGTCTCCAACCCTAACAGCGAGTAATTTCTTAACATTCTTTTCATTAAACATAAAAGATCAAAGACGTTAAATATTCATACATCATGACAAAGTAAAAATATTTTTCAAAGATCTAAAATATGCTGAACAACAAAGAGTCCTTACATTAAACACAGAGAAAACAGAAAAGCTACACAGATTTATAGAAAGTCATGAGCAGAACAAGGTAAAAGAGGAAGTAATGGTACAAATGATAAATACAACAGAAATTAGAATAGAAGTAAAAATATTCTTTTTATCTTTTATTTTAGATCTATTGCAAATGAAAATCTTTTATAATTTAAAAATAGAATCTCTAATTTTTTAATTCATAAACAGAAGGGATAATGTTTAAAAATGCCAATATTGTTGCCTTAACATTAGGAATGCTCAACATTGAAATGCCTAATACATATACTCACATCCTTTTCTTTCTGGAGACTGTCAACTTTTTCTTTTAGCCGCTTATATTCAAAATCTAATTTATCTGCTTTCTTTGATTCTTCAGATAATCTATTTTGTAGCTCTACTACCTGATACAGAAAAATACCATTACTTTTTATAATTTGAAACATTAGACATTACCATGATTTTCTTCTATGTTCTATGAGATTACACTCAATTATTCAAGTAAATACATATGATCCTGCGGCCAAACACAATGGAGAGAGCTAGGAATAAAAATCTGCCCAGAGCCTGTGGGTTTCCAAACCAGAATCATCCAGAACAACAACATTCAGAATAATAAGAATCTTCAGGATTGTCATCTCGAGCAATACAGATAACTGAGCAGTCTGAAATACCTTTTGTATGAAACAAAAGAAGTGGTCAGGAGGAGGGGAGGCCCAACTGCATAGGGAAGCTTACAAGAAAGTGAGGGAAATCCTCAGCGGCTAAACAGGAACAGGAAGAGCACGTGGGCGCTCTGGGAACAATGAAATACAAATAAAATACAGAAGAAAATCTTGTAAGCCAACTGCCAACACCATAAGCACAGCTCTGAGTGTAACAGGAGACAGGAGGTAGTTAAACCACCTGGGGCTTTGAAAGTCTATGAGTCAGTCACAGGTGGCTTAGGAAAAAAAAGTCCATCAGCTGGAAAAGTAAAGGAGCGCTTTGGGTTTAAAAATGTGTAACTTGGAAATTTCTAATCACGGTCTATTAATAATACATGAATTTGTGTTTGAGTTTTTCTATTTGCCTTGTCTAGGAAAATCTGAGCCAAGTAAATTAAATTTAAAGTGGTCCTAGTTGGTTATGCTGTGGAAAATCTGGCATGAACAGACACACATATCCTCTGTAGGAGCAAACCTCAACCATGACCCAGGATTCTCGAAGACAAAGATGCGGCATTAAGAGAACAAATCCAAAATTACAAAGGCCAAGGAACAGTGTTGATGGAAAACACCAACAGCAATAACAACAACAAAATAGGACGGTAAGATCTCCAAGGATTTCAGATTGGAATTGTCAAATACAAAATATATATACTATACAAATTCTGAGGACGGCAACAGAGGCCACTCTCCAACTAAGTAAAAGTTCAATACCAAAATCAGATAAGGAAATTATGAGAGAGAAAATTTCAAGTGATTCATAAAAGGAAAATATTCTAAGAGAACAAAAAAAGTGAACGAAACAACATGAAAACAACAAATAAATTCACCAGGACAACTTGAGTTTATCTCAAGAATGCAAGGATGGTTTAAGTTTTTAAAATTCACTAATATAATTCACCATGTTAATAGAAAGGAGAAGCATAAGACTCTCTCAGTAGATGTAGGAAAAATAGTAGATTAAATCCAACATCCACTTAGGCTAGAAATTCTGAGCAAATTGGGAAAATAGAATTTCTGCATCCTAATAAAAGGCGGTGTCAAATAACTGCGCGATCCTTATGTCAGTAGGATACCAGCAGGACCGTTTCCCACTATTATTGTTTCCACTTGTATTAAAGGCCAGGCATATTGAGTCAGAAGAAAAAAAGAATATGAAGCAGAAAGAAACGTAACAGCTTTTACTTGTTTACTGTGTCACTTCTGAAAAGAGAATCTACAGACATTATAAGAAGTAACAAGAGAATTTTGCAAGGATACAGAAATCAACATATAAAAATCAATTTCGTTCATGTAAATCATCAACAGACTAAAAACGCCATCTGTCTTTATCTAACCGCACTAACAACAACCCAACCACAGCATAAAGCACCTAAGAATCAACATGATGAAATACACTGATGATTTTTAGAGGAGCATTATCAAACTTAACTGAAAGACGTGAATAAATAGAAAGACGTGAATAAATAAATTGTGCTCACAGGTAGGAGCAACTCTCCCCAAACTGACCAACAGACTCCAGGTCTTATCTAACTGCAAAGGCTTGGGGTTAAAGGGCAAGCAAAGGGCCAAGAATAGAAAATTCTGGCTTGGCGCCTGTGGCTCAAGCGGCTAAGGCGCCAACCACATACACCTAAGGTGGCGGGTTCGAATCCCCAGCCCGGGCCCGCCAAACAACAATAATGGCTGCAACCAAAAAATGGCCAGGCGTTGTGGCGGGCGCCTATAGTCCCAGCTGCCTGGGAGGCTGAGGCAGGAGACTCGCTTGAGCCCAGGAGTTGGAGGTTGCTGTGAGCATGATGCCATGGCACTCTACCCAGGGGGATAGCTTGAGGCTCCATCTCAAAAAAAAAAAAAAAAAAAAAGAAAATTCTGACAAAGAACAAGGTACGGAGGTCTGTACTACCATACACTGAGGTTACTAAGAATGTATAGAAACAGGAGTGTGGTATTGGTGAACAAACAGCTGGAGGAGGCCAAGGGCACAGAAGAGACGCCCAGAAACAAGCCGTGCACACGTGGAACTTGAGACCCTACGGCAGAGCGGCGGGCGTGTGAAGCAGTGGACTGCTGTGTAAAGGACACAGGATGACGCTTATCCACACAGACAGCAGCTGTGTCAAACCGTCCCCACCTCACACGCTACATAAAAACCAACTCCAGGCCAATCAAAGACTTAAGCGTGCAAAACAAACTTTCTATCTTGGTAAAGAAAATAGAGGAGATTAGACTTAGATACTTAGTAGAAAATAATTTCTTCAACAAACATAAAAAGCAAAACTCATAAAGAAAAAGATAAAGTTCATTAAAGTTCATTATATTAACATTATCAACTTCAAAAAAGGTAAAAGGGCAGGTCAAAGACCTGTAGGAGACAAAAAAGAAAATGTGCAGGTGATAAAAATTAATAGCTAGAAGATAAAAAGAACTTTCAGAGGTCAGAAAGAAACAATTCAATTTTTAAAATGGGTAGAAGGTTAAAAAGCAGGCAATTCACAAAAGAAATACGGTTAGTAAATGCATTTACACTCAGGGTAATACGAAATATAATCCTAAGGAGACACCATTACATATGCTTCGAATTGGCAAATCTAAAGTCTGACAGTGCTATGTGTGGGTGGTGATGGGAACCTCAGGAGCTCGTGTAATAAGCTGCTTGCTGATAATACAATCACTCTGGAGAACAATCTGGTGCTATCTAACTACACTGCAGGTTCTCTAAGAAATTCCCTAAAGACCTAAAACCTTCACACATATACAGAAAAGAATCTGTGCAACACTTATGGCCTCACTGTATTTCTTTTAATAGATTAAAAAAAACAAAAGCTGAAACATCCTGTGTCTGTCAATAGGAAAATGATAAATTTTGGCAGTCACTCTCTGGGATACTGCACAGCCGTGAAAATGAACGGTATAAAGCTGTATCTGTCAACATAAACAAACCTCACAAATATACACCATTAAGCAAAAAACCAAATTACACAAGAGCACTGTCACTGTATCATTTACATAAAGTTTTCAAACATGTCAAATGCTCCAAATTTTCAGGGGTGTAGTAAAAGTATAAAGAGATTCATGGGAACAAAACCACAGAAAGTATAGAGCCTTCTCCCTGTAAGGAGGAGGGAAGAGTATGTTTTATTTTTTTAGCATAACTATTTGTTGTATTTTCTTTCTTTCTTTCTTTTTTTTTTTTTTTTTGACACAAAATCTCTGACACCCTGGGTGGAGTACTGTGGCACAGCTCACAGCAACCTCAAACTGAGCCCAAGTGATCCTCCTGCCTCAGCCTCCAAAGGACTACAAGCACCTGCCACAGTACCCAGCTAGTGCTGTATTTTTCTTTTATTTTTGTGTATTTCTTAAGTATTACATAATAAATTAGAAACAAATAAATAAAAGCATCTGCTATAGAGACCAATCAATAACCTCTGAATAAGAACTAAGTTTAAACTTTTTTAAACATAAGATAAACATAAATACAATAAAGAAAAGATAAAAACAGTACTGTGAAAACAAAAGCCAGCAGATTTCTGATCAGCACACGCTATACTGGAGGGCTTGCTTGAACTCCCCAGCGAGAAACTACGTTCCTGTTTTTCACCTGTCTCTTGTAGGTCTCCAGTTGGCTGCGGGCGGCATTGGCCTTCCGTAGCTCCTCCTCCAGACTGACCGTGTTCTGCATGTACACGCTGTTCTTCTCTTCTAAGAGTTTAACCTGCCGCCTCAAATCACCAAGGTCTTCTAGCTTCTTTTTGTAAGATTCCACTTGACCTTCTAGTTTAGACACTTTATCAGAAGAATGTCTAGAATGAGATGAGAAATTAAAAATCAGAAACAGATCTACAATTCTAAAGCTTTCTAGACACTGCTGAACCAAGAGGGCGTGCCAAGAGACACAAGTTCTAATGAAATTATAAAAATAAAAGTAATCCCAGGTTAATTTTTTGTCCAGGTTAACAAATGAGCAAAAGTACAACAAAAGGTGTAACAGAGAATGTTATACATTTAAGGAAAGCAAACAGGAGAGGCAGCCAACAGAGTCACATGTAGCACAAAAGTAAAATAAGCTGTGCAGTGTCCAAGTGATCTGGCCAGTATGAGTGACCACAGGAACAGGGCCTCAATGGGGCAGTCGGGCAGGAGGCCGAGGTGAGAACATAAATCTTACTTTATGTTCTAACTTTGGTTCTAGAGGGAAGGAGAGAGTACTAAATCCTTCTCTTTTAAGATGAAAGAGACCCAAATGTGTGTTGCCTGTGTGTGTGTATAAAGGACAGAGATTCACAAGGCAAAGAGATAGGAGGACCAATGCACCACAGTCCCCGCACAGGCAGAGACGGGAGGACCGATGCACCACAGTCCCCGCACAGGCAGAGATGGGAGGACCGATG